CCCAGTGAACCTCCCCAGCTGGTATTACAGTGTCATGCCTTTCCACAATGATCTGTGTAATCAATGGGGTTCCCGGGTGGTACAGTAGTATAGAACCTGCCTGCCAATGCAGGAGATGCAAGAGACACAAGTTCGATCCAAGGGTCAGGAAGATCCCTGGAGAAGGGAATGGCAACCCACTCCAGTATTATTGCCTGGAGAATCCCATGGACAAGGAGCCTGGCATGCTACAGTCCATGGCGTCACAAAGAGTGTAATCAATGGGATATTGTGAGGATGGTGTGTGACTTCAAAGCTAGATAGTGAAAGGCAGTGTGGCTTCCACCTCCCTCTCTTGGATCACTCACTCTGGAGGAGGCCAGCCACCGTGTCCTGAGGACAGTCAAGCAGCCCAATGGAGAAGCTCCACTTGTCGAGAAGTTGAGGGCTTCTGCCATTGGCCAACACCAGCCAGCCAGCCATTCGAGTGAGCTGTCTTGGAGTCTTGAAAGCTGATCCACTAGCCCTTAGATGTCTGCAGCCCTGACCTACATCTGGACACCATCCTCATCAGAAACTCTGAGCCAGAAACACCCATTTTAGCTGCTTCTGAATTTCTGATTCACAGAAACCATGAGATAATAAGGGTTTATTGTATCAGACAATTGAGTTTTAAAATAATTTGTTACACAGCTATAGGTAACTAACACATAGTCTGACACATAGTCTCCATACCTGTTAACCATCATTAACTCCATCTTACAGGTAGGAAGACTAAAGCTCAGGCTGGTGAACTGATGTTTTTTATGTACATATACAGCTATTAACAGGAAGTGGCAGTGCCAGCCATATCCTCAACCCAGGGCTTTTCTTTATTTTTTGTATTTTGTTATTACTTTTGGCCACACCACTGTGGCATGCAGTATCTTAGTTCCCTGACCAGGGATCATCGAACCCAAGTTCCCTGCAGTAGAAGCACCAAGTCTTAACCACTGGGCCCCAAGGAAAGTCCCAACCCAGGGCTTTTAGTGCCAGGTTCTAGGCTCTTCTTTCTGCCCCACCATCCCAGTTATCCATTGTTGAGTAACAATACCAAGTGGCATTAAATAACTGTTTTATTATGCTCTGGACTTTGTGTCTGGAACTCCAACAGGACACTGTGGGAATGGTTTATCTCTGCTCTACTATGTCTGCGGCCTTGGGTGGAAAACCTGACAGTCTGGGGATGATGATCTGAGAGCAGAGGGCTGCATTACTTATACATCTGGCAGCAGATACTGACTTTTGGCCAAATCCCTCCATGTAGACCCTTAAAATAGGCTGGGCATCCTCATGGCATGACGACTGAGTTCCAGAGTAAGTGTCCCAAGAGGCAGAATGTGACAGATTCTTAAGGCCTGGGTTCAGAAAGTGGCTCAGTGTACTTCTGCCACATTCAGTGAGCCAGCTAGTCATGGAACTCAGGTTCAAGGGAATGATACATAGTACTTACCTCTAGGTAGGCAGCATGTCAGAGGGGGGCCATTGTTTAAATGAAATTAAATTAAATATGGGGCCAGTATTTAAAACTGCCACACCCACAGCAGCCTCCTGATTGGTGAGGGGCTCTGAAAAACCATCCCTGCCTTGACAGGCCACACTCTGGTAGGTTGGCCTCATGTGCCCAAAACAAACACTAACTCCACCAGCCTCCTGTGTGAAGTGTTCATGAAGGGCTTACCCGCGGAAGACATATCACAAGGGTTCAGAGAAGGTGCTGGAGTCATCAGTGACACTTCCTGGCATCTACCATGTGCCAAGCTCTGAGGAAACAGACCCAGAACCTTAAGCAGTGGCTTTAGAGAGTAGTGTGTGGTACAGTGGGAAGATGTGTAAAGAAACACCACCACCCGAGGTAAACAGGTGCCACACAAGAGAAGCCTGGAGCAGACTCACTCCACTTAGCCTCAGGGGCTCAGAGAAGCTTTCTCAGAAGAGGGGATATCTGAGCCAAAGGAGAAAGTCTTTCCAGATAGAAGAACAAGCCTGGGCAAAGGAAGGAGATATGAGGTAACAGTATTTGGGCAATTAGAAGTGATTCAGGGTGGCTGTGGGGTGGGCAGAGCTGAGGTGAAGCCCCAGGGGACACCAGGGGGTCAGATTCCAAGATGCATTACCTACCGAGGTAGACCACTTACTGGTAAGAAGTGGGTGCATGCCATGAGGGGAGGAGGATGACTGTGACACTGTTGGCCATACCATTAACCTGAGAAATCCCAGGAGTGAGAGGAAGATAGGTCTAGAAAGGTGGACATGTGGAGTCTGAGATGCCTGTGGGGCATTCAAGTGGGATTCCAGCTCTGTGTCCGGACAGTTCTGGCCTGAGGACTAAAGAAAGCGAGGGGAGCTGTGGGTCAACTCTATATTCTATAGGCAAAGACAAGCTAGGGAAGGTTTTAAGTAAGAGATTATAATGGCTAATACTTAATGAGGGCCCATTACATGTTGGGCAAAGTCCCAAGCATTTTATATGAACTGATTTGGACCTCACAGTCATTCTGTAAGGAAAGTGCCTTTGCACTAAATTTAAGATATTTTCAATTGTAATATATACCGTTATGCTATGACATGTCTTCAATTTAAAATGGGTTCTTCAGAGATGTTAAAATGTAGATAGAAGGAAAAAAGGCCAAAGAATCAAAGAAATACATGATCTGCATTTAAAAAATGAGGAAACAGGAACAGAAAAATAACTTTCCCAAGGTTTGGTAAGTGCCAGAGCCAGGATTTGAAATCGGGCAGCCCAACTCCAGAGCCCAAGTTTTCAAGCATCATTTGATGCTGGACAGGAGGGTCGAATGATGTGGAGTTTTAAGAAGACCAGTGTGGGGACTTCCCTGGTGGGCCAGTGGTTAAGAATCTGCCTTCCAATGCAGGGGGCACAGGTTCGAACCCTGGTCGGGGGACTAAGATCCCACAAGCAGCAGGCCAATTAAGCCCATGCACGATAACTAGAGAGCCCCCACCCCACAATTAAGATCCAACACAGCCAGGAAAATAAAATATTAAAAAAAAAAAAAGACCATTGTGGCCGCTAAGCGTGCACAGTGGGCTTTAGGGGAGTGAGCAGAGTCAGATGCACATTTGGGATACTGGGCTCTACAGGGAGAAAGAGGGTTCCAGAGGGGGCTGGGCCCCATAGAGCAGGAGGAGGGGCAGAGAGGAGCAAGGTCCTTCAGAGATGGGCAAAACTGTTGACCCACTGCATGTTGGTTGTGAGAAGGACGACAGCTCTAAAATGCTGAGCCTGGAAACAGGGCACATTCTTGGGGGGCTTGAGACAGCTCCTGGAGACAAAGGAGAGCTGCTGTGGCTGGGGTATCAGCAGGGCACTTCTCACCCCAGTGTGGGCGGCAGCGTTGTCCGGTGCCTGGCTAGCAATCACTTAGTATTTATCAAATGAGTGAATGTTTCAATTGTTGTATGAGCTTGGGCATGCCATATGATTTCTAGGTTCCATTTTTTGGTGTAAAATGAAAGCATTGGACTAGAATGTGTAAAACAAAATGGAAGGTGTTTCTCCAGAGAGGATAAATTACTACTTTCTCTCTATCCCCAGAACCTTTACAGATTCCCCCAAACAGTGGTTCTAACCCTGGCTGGCTGTAAATTAGATTAACTGAGGCCCCATATGAGACCACTAAACTCTGAATCTCTGGAGACAAGACCCAGCAACAGGTAGTTTCTTTAAGATGACCAGATGACTCTACATGTGATCTCCCACGTGGCGCTAGTGGTAAAGAACCTACCTGCCAACGCAGGAGGCATAAGAGACGCAGGTTCCATCCCTCGGTAGGGAAGATCCCCTGGAAGAGGGCATGGTAACCCACTCCAGTATTCTTGCCTGGAGACTCCCATGGACAGAAGAGCCTGGTGGGCTATAGTCCATAGGGTCGCAGAGTCGGACACTACTGAAGTGACTTAGCATGGACACACGCAGCTTGTTGAGAACTGGGATCTTCCAGTTCCAGGTTGAACTTCAGTATCCAGTTTGAAAACCATGGGGCTGTGTGAAGGCAAGGATCCCTCCCAGGTCTAGGCCCCTGGACTGTGACTTATAGTTGGAGACAGGCCTTTCTTTTCATGTCCCATCTCCCATCCCCCAAATACAAACTGATAACCAAGGGATCAGACACCAGGGTTTCTCAACCACACACTGCTGACTGTTCAGACTGGATCATTCTTTGTCCTGGAGAACATTCCCATGCATTTTCAGATGTTTACCAGCATCCCTGGTCTGTAACAATTAGATGCCAGTACTACATTCCCCCCACCCCACCCCGCCATCAAAACAATCAAAAACATCTCCTCTGGTGCAAAATCTCCATCTCCCCAAGTTGAGAACCACTGTGCTACATGAGCCTCCCTCTCCCCCTGCCCTCCCCGGTTGCAGACAGAGGCCAGGCAGAGGCTGGAGGCCATTTGACAGCACGTTTAGTTGGGCCTGGCAGGAGGGAGGCCTCTCTCTGTGGGAGGCTTCACAATGTTAAATGGAAGGGGAGCATGCCAGCAGGCTGACTGATGTGGTCTCACTCTAGGGGGAGGGACTTTTCCAGAACACTCATTCCCGGATTCCCAATCAGTCACAGGAGGGCCAAGAGGAGTTTCTGGGGCCTGGCAGCCCCCACGTTTTCCGGGAACAGGCAGAAGGGGGTGTGGGAGTGGTGGTGAGCAGAGGGGATTCTTTCCTTCTGTAGATATTTTCCTGGCACAGGGACTGCCCCCATATGATTGGTTGAAGGATGAAGGGGAGGAGCTTTCCAGCTGTGGGTGCCTGGGTCCCTGGAGACCATCTGACACTGGGACTATGGGGTATGTCTGAGTATCAGGGTCTGGAAGATTGAACCACTTGGGGCTGGAATTAAGGGTCTGGCTGTCCACCCCCCTCCCTACCCCACCCCCAACCCCAAGAGAGAAGTGGACGTTGTGGGCACACGAGCTCCTTAGAACTGGAGGCTAGGCTCTGTCCTCGTTTTCACAAGTCATCTTTTTGCTTGGAAGTAGTTGTACCTAAGGGAAATCAGAGGGTGGGAGGCCTGGGAATGGAGGAGGGAAGGGCCGCGAGGGCAGGAGGAAGGATAAGGGGGTACTGGTGGGAGGTGGTGAGGTTGTCTCCTGCCCTGATCCCCCAACTCACTCCACCACGAGGCTCGGAACACCCAGGAGCAGGGCAGTTCCGCACACAAACAGGAGCAGGATCCGAGCTTCCCAAAGATCGTGACTTCCTACAGGGGACACAGGAGGCAGTGAGTGATCCCGGGGGCCACACCCCTCGATGGTGGGGGAGCCTCAGAGCTCAGAGATCTGGGTGGGGGTGAGGCAGAGGTGGGGAGTAAGGACCTGGGAAGCAGCGCTTTCGGGGCCAACAGTACACCTCGAAGCCCTGGCAGGTGGAACAGTTGTACAGGATGGTGCTGCCCCCTGCAGGAGACAGTAGGACCAGCAGTGCTGCGGGAAGCCTCTGCTCCATGCTTTCACCCCCTCTGTGACAGCTCTCCTCAGGTGCCCCAAGCCCCTGGCTCTCGCTACCCCTTCCCTTTCCTACTTACGGCAGGAGGGAGGGCAGAGAGCTGAAATGAAAGACAAGGCAGGGTGGGGGCAGATGAGCTCAGCCACACACCCCTTTGCCCAAGGACCTAGGCACCCCTTGGTCCACATCTGTACCTTCTCTGTTGTACTCCCGGAGCTTGGTCTTCTGAAGCCATTGCCAATACGAAGGGAGTGAGTAGAGAGACCCTTTGATCTCTGGGGAGGCAGAGAGCAGCTAGAGTGCCCAGGACCTCAGCAGGGCTGGCTGACCTCCACCCCTTCACCCAGCACCACCCCATCACTCTCTCCTGTCTCCATCTGCCCTCCACCCTTCCCTACCCCTCCTCCCCAGCCCCCTCCTTGGTTGTGCCTTACAAGCCCCTAGGTTGTGCCTTCCCCCTTGACTTCACCCATGACTCTCAGGACTCTGTGAGTCTTCTCTGTGATTTTGTTCAAGGACGCATCATCTGTGGAGATGGGTAAGGATTGCGTGATTCCCTCATTGACCTGGAAGGAGGTCTGGGCCCTTTCCCAGGGTCTGAAGAAGCTCTCCCAGAGGGAGCAGAAAGTGTGTCCAGAGAGGGCTGTGGACTGAGGAGATGGCTGAGAGGCAGAGCTGGGAGGCCACTTGCAGGCCCCTTGGGGCACAGGGGTGAGTGTTGCTAGGCCCATCCCTGGATGTCTGGTTTTACCTAAGGCAAAAGCCGAGAATGTCCAGGAGACCTCACAGTCCTTCCACTGGACCTCCATCTGGCTGCAAAGCCGAGCCAGGCGGCCCGACAACTCACGGTCTGGGAAACGGCAGAAGACACAGGCCTCAACGGCTGCCAGGAAGATGCCACCTAATGCCAGTGTCCACATGAGGCCTGCTGGGGGTGCTGGAGAGAGGGCTGGCCCCACCTAGGCTGGAAAGGCACTGGAATGCTCTGTGATCCTGGTTCCAGCCCTTTGTCTGGAGGTTCTAGAGCATTCTAGCACAGTGACACTACCCCATCTCTGGCTGGGGTAAACTTGGGGCCCAGTGAATTTAGGACTGGAAGAAGATTCTTCTACTGGGAGATGGGTAGAGAAAGCAAGGCTGCTGCTATACCCCCAACCTAGCCCTCAGCAGCCTTCATGAGTCGGTGATTCCAAAAGCAATTTTATTTTTATTCCTGTAAATCACGACCAGTGATAAATAGTGACTCCCCAGTGAAGAAGCTGTTTGTGAGTATCCGGTACCCCCAAGGACCCAGAAACCCATCCCTGTCCACATCCTCCCCCACTCTCTCAGACTCTTCTGTTCATCTCCTCTTCGCCCTGAGCAGCCTTGGGCCTTCCCCAACTATCTCCTAGCAACAGGCTCATGGTTGCCGTAGCAACAGAGAGTTCTATACAGGCCTCCAAGGCCTAGCTAAGCCCAGTGACTTCTCTTACCTCTCATTAGAAGATCCTAGTGACTCAAAGCTCAGCAGTCCTCTCCTGCCTACGTGGATGTGTGAAGCACATGTGCACACACACCCCTTGTGATTAAACTAATTGTCAGTCTACTCACACCCATACCACAGACACACCTGGTACCAAAACAGTTGCTGGGCAACCCCTAACAGGCCTGGACATGCAGAGGCCACAGAAAGACCAGCGCACAGACGCCACCTCCAGCAACATGGCTGAGAGCCAGGATGCAGGGATCCACGCATCAGTCAGAGCCACTGGCTGACAGGCACGTACACATGAAGGAAGGAAGGCCAGGACCCAAGAAGATGCCCCGCTCCTCCCTGTAGCCAGCCCCACCTTCAACATGGGATTCTTTAAAACACCTGGATCAAAAAAACAAAAACAAAAAACCACCTGGGTCTCCAGAGGGATGCTCCAGCCCCACAGTTAATGGGGTTTCTCCTAGCTCCCTTATGCCAACCTAAGGTAGGGCGTAGCCCTCCCTGTCTCCCTCAGTGGTGGCTTAGGACACAGCAAAGAACCTCCCTTCCCATATTTCAGTGTTCTGACTTCTCATCTGTCAGGCCAGGCGAGGCCACCATCTCCAGGAGAAGTCACAGTCCAGGAGACCTCATTAGAGCAATCCAAACTTCTTTCCCTCAGACCTCACCGTCCTTTCACAGTCCTGCTAAGTTGAGCCTGGACAGAGAAGCATACCTGCTTTTCCAGACTCTGAATACTGAGCTCCAAGCAAGGAAACACCAAAGGTCCCCAGACTCAGGGAGGACCAGCCAGGGAAGCCTCCCCAGCCCTCCCAGGATCAGCTCCGTTCCAGACCCAGTGATCTCGTGGGCTCTTGGTGGGCTCTCTCCAGTGTGGGGATTCCTGTCCATACTTGGGCTCTCCAGTCAGGTGCAGTGGGGCCTCTGACTCTCACAGCTCCCGGAGCAGAGCTAGGAAAAGGCCTCAGGAGAATCTTCAACCCCTTTACTGACCCATTCTTTCTCCCCCCCACCCCCCATGAAGTCAAAGTGAGGGCAGCATTCGCAGGTCTCAGTTCCTAGTGCCGAACAAAGCGTAGAGATCGGGAGTTGAGCAGGTCTTCAGGGTCAGGGAAGACAGAGTCGAGACGGAAGCCGTGTTCCAGAGCCACCCGCAGCACCTCCTCCAGGAAGCTGGGTGTGCCCACCACCTCCCGTGGCTCTCCTGGTGCCCCGGTCCACAGTGGCTGCAGCCCTAGTCTGCGGTACTCCACTTCAGGGAGTTCTGTGGGGCGGGGGGCCCATTCCAGATGGAAGTGTGGTCCTCCCTCTGCCCTGTCCTCATTGGTCACACCAAATCGGGCCCGCAGGGCACCCAGACATTCAGGATCGGTGCAGAAGAGATTGGCCCGGAAGGTGTCCACCTGGACAGAACTCAGCTCATAGTGGTGTGGGCCTCGACGAGCAGAGAAGTGCACCAGGCGGGGGCTGCTATCTACGTCTGCGTGGAGCAGGGCAGCTGTGGGAGCCGGGGTCCCCCGAGAGGCCTCCAGTTCCCGCAGGGCATCCAGGAGGGGTCGGATCTGGTAAAAGTCAGCCTCTGCCCTCAGAAGTGCTGTCTCCCCATATCCAAGGGGCAGGTCTAGGCGGCCCAGCCGGAGGAAATTGAGGATGTGCCGGAAGGCCTTGCCATCTCGATCGATGAAGTAGTGGCCACCTCCCTGGGGATTGAGGTTGGGGGTCATGGGGGTACCAGCCCTAAACATGGCCCCCAACATGGAGTCTGGGAATCGAGTCAAGGTCTCCAACGTGGTGGAATATAGCGTGCCCCCGACATTCAGGGTCACGGGGCCCCCGAAGGAGGGGGGGGAAGAGGGCACAGGAGGAGGAGAAATTTTGAGGAGTATAGAAGACACCGAAAGAGAAGAAAAGGCAGAACTTCCTGGATGTGTGCAGAACTGGGTGGTAAGGTTCAGACTGTCTCTGAGTGGGAGGCACAGGTTGGAGTACAAGGCAGCAAGATTTGGGGCTCACCCTAGCTGCCTTGGTAGTGGGAGATGATTTCTGGGCACAGAGATGCCGGAAAAGTCGAGAAAACGGATGAAAAGAGCAGAGGGAAGTCAGGGAGGTACGGGAGATAGAGATCCGATTCTGGGTGGTCAGCGATTCCTTTCTGTGGTCTTCAGACAGTGGCTTTCCAGAATCCAACCAGCAGGTGACGGTGGCGAGCACAAGGCCGACTCTGAAGAGTCCAGCTTCTCGGGCAGATCGCTGTCACCGTGGGCAAGTCCACGCAGGGATCCGGGGACCAGTTTGAGGCCTTGCCTTGCCTGACTCCGGCGCGGGTCCCAGGAGATGGAGGCGAGGCTTACCGGAGCCGATGGCTGGGGGGTGCCTCTGTATCGGCTGGGGACCGCAGATGCACGTTCAGTACAAGCTGGGAGTGTCCGAGGACTCCGATGGAAGCAGCCAAGAGTCTCGGGACCCGGGCGCCGACGCCTTCCTCCGGTTTCACTGCAACCGCTTAAGTCCTCTCCGCCCCCAGGAAGTGGCCTAAGGGCAGCGGCCGGGGGCCCTTTAAGAGGCAGCCCCGCCCCCTGGGCGCCCCGCCCCTCGCCCCCGCCCCCGCCGACCGAGCGCTGCTAGGGGTGGTGGTGGAAGCCGAGTGGCGAACCGGAGAGACGGGGCGGACAGGCTGGACCAGCGCACGCTAGCGGGGGTGGGGTCCGGAGGGTGACTCAGTCACGTCATTCCGGATGTACCCGCGACGGCCCCACGGGCCCCCGGGTGTGCCCGACCTCACGTCTACAATTCAGTGGACGCCGGCATCTCCTATCCCGCCGCTCAAGAAACTGAGGGCCGGCAGTCAGGGGTTGGGGACCTGTTCCTTTTCTGTCACTCCAGCGGGGAATTCCCGAGGGGGCGGGTGCTGAGCATCCACATTCCAGGGATGCCTCCGGGCCAGGGTGGCCTGAGCCAGCCTCGCCATCCCTGCCGGATGCCAGCCGCCCCCCCTCCCCAAGGCTAGACCCAACCCACGCCACGCAAGCGGCCTCTGCCTGGCCGGACGGGTCTGGCCACGTCGCCTGAGCCCGCGAGCCCCCGCCCTAGAGGCCGAAGCTCCCCCTCACTCCCAGGAGTTGCACCTCCAGTGACTCCAGTTCGAAAACTCCCAATCGCTCTAGCACCCCAGGAGTCGCAGTGCCCTATATCTCACCAGCCCCAGCCGGAAGGGGGTGGCCAATAAATGAACTTTGAAGAGCAAAGCACAAAGGCTTTAATGGAAAGAGTGGGCGGTGGGGAGGGAAGGGATGGGGGTGCAAGCCCTTGAAGGCCTGGGATCAAAGCGTATGGAGGTCATGACTACGCCGGCTCAGCTTCTCCGGGTCGTCGGATGCCATGAGAGAGAAATCACGGAAGATGTCAAGATATGTCTCATCTCCTGAGGGGAGGGAGAAAGGGATGAGAGGCTGGGTCCTAGCACGAATAGCACAATAGGGACAGCCCGGCCTGGTAAGAGCACGCGCTTCCAACGTGGGTGGAGGAGATGTCTGTGCTGTCAGGGCAGCGCCCTCGCCTATTTGCTTTGTTTTAAGGACCTGGAGCGTAGGATGCGCCCAATACGTATTTGTTGAATAAATAATGTAATTAATCAATGAAGCTGAGGACAGGGAGTTGGGGACAGGTCACCAGGGGCCAGAAGCCAACAGTTAACAATGTTGTGCAGGGTGGAGGGGAGGTGTACTTTACCAGCCTGGCCCTGGGCCGCATCGGCCTCCCTCATTTTTGCCAATCGTAGCCTGAAGTGGGAGAGAATTAAGGAATGAATGACATTCTCACCCCACCCCCACCTTCCCATCCTTTGAGCTGGGTTGTTTCATTCACCTGTTTCCCCAGGGTCTAGTACTTTAAAGATGCCTGACAACGTTAATGAATGATGCCTCTCTCAGAATAAATCCACCAAGGAAGGTGAATTTATCCTGTCCTCTCCCCTTCCTACTCCAAACCTCAGTCAACACCTGGAGGAGCCTTTCTCAGTCCGGTCCAGGAGCTGGCCCCGCCCCTCCCCAGGCCCCGCCTGGCAAGCTGGGGTCTGGCGTGAGCCCCGCCCAAGTGGATAGTGCAAGCGCGAGCCCAGTATCCCCAGGCACCCTCACAGAGTGACGATGTCAGCGTTGGCTGTTTCCACGGCAATGGTCAGGGGGTCTCTGCCTTCAGAGTCTCGAACTCCCAGATCGGCCCCCCGTTTCAGAAACAGGCAGGCTAACCTGGACAAGATAGCCAAGTTCAGCCGGCCCCTCACCCTGTCTGGAGCCTTCCTCCCGAGGCCATCATCCCTGTTGTCCCTACCCTGTGTGGCCAAGAATGGTTGCATGGTGGAGCGGGCCCCGGCCTCGGTTGTCCACCTGGTTCACGTTTGCCCCATTCTGGAGGAGAAACTCACAGGCCAGAAGAGAATTCTGCATGGAGAAATAGAGAATGGGGAGAGAACGTGGCAAATTAGAGACAAAAGATATTTTTGGAGTCGGGTCAGTTCAGTGGTATGGGGTGGCAGGCTCTGCTTTTTTTTTTTTTTAAAGCTTTATTTATTGGCCGCATCACGGGACACGTGGGATCTGTTCTCCAATAAGGGACTGAACCCGCAGCCCCTGCCTTGGAAGCACGGAATCTTAACCACTGGACCACCACCAGGGAAGTCCCTCTGTTCTGGCTCTTTACATGTATTATATCCATAGTACAACCTAATGAGGCACGTTATCCCTATTTTACAGATGAGGAAACTGAGGCACAAGGAGGTTCATAGCTGTAAGTGGTGAGGGTCTGGATCCAAACCCAGGTTTCTCTGCCTCCAAATCTCACCCTCTTAGCAATCAGGCTCTACTGGTTATCACTCCCTAGGGGCTGGGGAGAAGGTTAAGAGCTGGAACCAAGGTCAGGAGAGGGAAGAGAGGAGGAGACTAAAGGTGTTGTAGGGAGGTCACCAAGACTCTCACAGCAGCTGTGGCCTGGATCAGCGGTGTGGCATTCTCCTGACCCCCGTTGACCCAGTTGACATCGGCTCCATGGGCAAGGGCGTCAGCCATGGTGGGAAGGGATGGAGGGTGCCCAGCAGCTCGAAAGAGCAGGGCCCCGGGGTGCAGGCTCTCCAGGTCCTCAGAGGGGGGTTCTGTGAGGAGGAACCAGCTATGAATCTGGGAAAGAAACCCCCAGCATAGACCCCTGACATTGTGATGGTTTAGGTCACTTTTCAATTGTGGGGAGGACTCCAAGACCAGGAATTATGGTGGGAGGTGATGGAGGGTGTGAGTGGATATGATTGGGTCCCTAGGCATATAGAATAGACACATCTTTCACCTCTTCCTTTCTGACCACCTCAAGTGGCAGGGACATTGGGGGTGAGCTGATAGTCAACCTCAGCTCTCTTGATTCCCTCTTTCCCAGCCAATCTCCCACCCTCATCCACAGGCCTCTGGAGACTTTCACTCATTCTCCTGACTCAGCTCATGCTGTTGGCACCCTCACAGAGCCCTTCCTGCTTCCTCCCAGCCCCATGGTCCTTCCCATCCTTCACTTTAATCCCTGAAACTCTTGCCTTATAAAACCAGTGCTGGTACGGTCTGGACCCCCGAACATTCTCAAGGGGAAGACCTGGACCCAGGACTCTGTGCCTCCCCACTGGGCTTGGCACTGTGCTCAGTGCACAGCAGGCGCTCACAGATGCCCAACCAACTGTATACCTGGCTTGGATCTGAAGCTCCCCGGCTTGGGCCTGATAAGCCCCGGCTTTGGGGGCACAGGAGGATGCCCCCTGGGGGGCCCTCGGCCACCTCTTCGCCCTCGAATCTCAGGAAGTTTGGTCAGGAACTTCTTCTCCACATATTTAGCATGAATCCAGGCCTCCTTCTCTTGCCTGGCGGGGAGTGTTGCAGGGGAAGGAGACAGTCTTCCCTCCTCTCATCCTGGGCCCTCCTCCCTTCCTCCCCACATGGAGGGTAGCCCCAGCCTCACCGGGAGCAACTGGGTCCTGGTTTCTTCACGGCCATGGCCTCCACACGGGCTTCATAGATCTGGTTTATGACGACATTTCCCAGCTCACACATGAGCTGCAGGTGGCCCAGGTGGAGGCAGAGACAGACAGGTAGGGTATGGGTGAGTGTCTGAGCTCTCGGGCTCTGCGGCCCTGCCCTTACCCCACCCCCACACACTCACAGCACCCCAAGTCACCTTCACAAGTTCCGGCTCCCATGAGTCAAGGGTCAGAGACCGGACTTTGGAGAAATGAACTCCAAGGCTCCTGGAGAGCAAGGGGGATACGTCAGGCCCTCTGTGGGGGCAGCTGCTACTCCTGCAAAGACTTAGGGGCAACGTCCTACATGGGGGGGCCCATGCAGAGGCGCTGGGCCAGGAGGCAGAGGGCAGTCAGGGTCACGTGGTCTTGACTGGGATCAAGCAGGATTCCGCCTGTTCACCATTCCGTCTCCTCCCTTCTCATCCTCTCCAGCCACCTCCCCTCTCTCCAGGCATTCTGGCCTGGACAACTCTTCCCATGCCACTCCCCTCCGCTGCGCTCCCCCGCCCCCGCCCCCGCCCCTGGAGGGCTGTATAGACCTGCTAAGTCCTCATAACATCATCTCTCTCTGCTTTTCATCAGCTCCCCCACCCTCAGCAGTCCTGACCCCACACCTCCTCCAGACAAGCCGATCACCTCCCCTGGGTGTCCTCCTACTCTGGCCAGACCAGGACATCGAGGGGCTGGGCCCACCTGGGTCCACCTTGT